AATTATAGAATTAAAAAAATAAAATCAGAGCGTTCCACTCCACAACAGAAGAGTTCTACTTTTTGATTCAGGTTTTTAAAAACTTGTTGTTTTTTCAAATATCTGTTATTTCTCTGGAATTCAGAGTCTCTTTGAAGGTTTGTGTGAAGCTTGAGGTTAGATTCAGGTGGAGCTTTAGGTCATAATGAATGAAAGATGGAACCGCAGCAAAAAAATAACCGCAAAAYCAAAGTGTGTTTATGTGTGTGWGTGTCTTTGGCCTGCAAAGTGCTGATCCAGTTTTCCTGCTGTGGGTTGGCATCACCTGCAAACAGCAGAAAGCTGCACAGAGACTCATTCACACACACACAACCACACACACACACACACACATACAGAGTGTGTCTGAAGCTGCATACCACTGCTCAAATGTTTATGTTTAAGCCCCTTTCTCTTGTATGTGTGTGTGTGTGTGTGTGTGTGTGCATCCTTGTCAGAAGTCTGACTTCAGGAAAAAGGTCATTTCCAGGAACTTTTTTCCAAAATAAACAGTGAAACAGACAAAACTTTAACTCTGAGGATGAAAATAAGCTGACGTTGTTGCACGTCACTCTGTGATGTTGATTTAAGTTGTGATTCGCAGACGTCGAGTTAAAAAAACTTATTTTTGGTTTTCCTATGGGTGTGTGAGTGAGTCTATAATCTCTAATTCAAACTGTACAGAACTTTTAATGATTTTTTTTTAATTTTCAAATGTGAAACTAGAACCAGTCTTGTAATAAAACCTACCCGCAGCATTAAAACACTCATTCGACAAATTTAAAAGAGACGTAAAAACACAACTCAGTAACTATGTTCTTCTCACTTCATAAAATGATGCGACGAGATGTTGGAAAATWAGAATATTTAAAGAAAACTTGTTCATTGATGCAAACTTTAGTTGTTAATCTRAGCTGCTGGTTGGATTTTGTGTGTTTTGAGCAGGTTGGCAAAACCTGCAAAGTCATGATTGAAAATCTGCAAAGTCATGTTTGAAAGGTGAAGCCACAGATCTGAGGCGGAGATAAGACGAGTTACTTAACACTTCGGCACAAAGACGCAGAGCACATTTTATCCAGTGTGTGTGCGTGCGTGCGTGCGTGCGTGTGTGTGTGTATGTGTGTGTGTGTGTGTGTGTGCGTGTGTGTGTGTGTGTGTGTGATATCAGATGCATTTTCCAAGAATCTCTGAAACCTTTCAGAACTCAGAGCCTTACCTTCAGTTCAACAACAGTTGGGGTTTATATTGAATAAAGTTGACTTGTTAATACGTCTTCCTGTTCATGAGATTTGCATTGATCTGCTCTTTATTGAGGCTTGATGTGTTACAACTCCACACAGACTCACACCTCATGACTGCAGAAGTGGGTCAGAAAGCTGCTGAGTGAGGAGGAGGAGGAGGAGGAGGACTCCTACCTCCAGTCTCAGAGGACAGATGAAGACAATCTGCTCCTCTTGATTTTCAGAGCTGCTTCAATCAAACATCCCTGCCTGGAAAACAATAAAACACACAACCTCCAAATGATGAAAACTATTATTATTTTTTTGCTTGATCATTCCGTATTAATGGCTCCTCTGTTGTTGTTTTAAAATCCTATTCCTGCAGGATCTGTTTGAGTTTGAATCTTGGTTCTGGTCTCATAAAACCACACCGACTCGGTGACTCAGTTTGCTGAAAGAACAAACAGTGCCTTCAGCCAGAGGGGCTGAATTAATCACTTTTCTCTTGTCTGTTTTCGTCTCGTTCTGCTCGGGACAGAAATCAGTGTTTAAGTCAACAAATGTCTGAGCGATGCGTGGGTGATGGAGCAAGTCTTATACTTGTCGTTTACCTGTTTTCTTTCATATTTTTTGAATTTGAACTAAAGAAAAAACTATTTTGGATGTATCATGTTGCCAATTATGAAGTTAATTGTCGATGTACTAACAAACTACAGCAAAAAGGTGACAAAAACTGCTGTGAAAATCCTCTAAATGCTTGAAACTTGCAATTTTGTATTTTGAAATTTGGAACTTTTTGTCAGCAGAAAAGCTGAAAATCACTGCTTGTTGACATGAGATGAACTGGGTGAGCTGCAGTTTTACTCTAAGAAAAACACACACACAAATCTTTGTGGAAGACAAGTCCAAGTGAATAAAGTCCAGTGAATGAGGAGAAAAAGAGGGAGTTTGTCGGAACAACAAGCAGCCTTTTTGTTTTTCACCCRCATGTTTGTGTCAAACTCTCGCACGCAGACATGAAATATTTCCTGCCCCCCTCTCTCTCTTTACCTGAATGCATCCCTGGTGTTTCAGCTTTAACTTGACAGCTTTAACGAGTGTTTACCCTCTCCTCCTGCCGTGATTGAAGTGCATGTTTTTGCTCCGCCAGGCGAGTTCGGACCGTAATTATTGCAGCAGGTTGGAGGTAAAAACATGTAAAAAATGAGGGTAAATTTTTGTCTCCGGTTACAGAGGTGGGGCTGTTTTTACAGCGTTATTGCTTGAAGAAAGAAGACTGAATGTAGTCGTTTAAATAAGCTATATTAACTGGTTTTGCTTGCATCCTGCAGAGGTTCTGTAATATTTTTGTTTTTGTGTGGCCTTAAAAAAAAAAGAAACCGAACACGTTATTTAGTTTATTTTGTTCTGCTATTATCAGATGTGTAACATCAACTCTAGAGAGGTCAAAATAAGGTCAGAGTTTGTCTAATTAAAAGGGAAAGCTTAATAATTACCAGAGAGACAATAACACAATTAAAGAAGCATTTTTACAGAGTTATTACTTTTATTTAGGTGAAAACTGATGAGGTTTTATTGTGAATTTTAAAAAAACAAGTGTTTTAGTTTCTGGGGTTCAAAAAGTTTAATTATTTCTCTTCCTGCATCTTATTCTCTGAGGGTCATGTGTGCATGTTTTGATTTAGATTTACTAAAAGCCTTAATCCTAGCAGCGCGTACACACACACACACACACACACACACAATGGAGCTCCCTGAGGATGTTAGAGGAGAAGCTTCATATCCAGGTCATGCATTGATGCTTTGCTTTGAAGACTTGAAGACATTTGATCCGGGGCCTCGGTCTCTGCTGACTTCTGTTTTTCTCTTTCATGAAGGAACGACGTCAGAGTTTGTGTTTCCGGAGGAATCGGYCCCCCAGCCTCCACACCTCTGCAGAGCCGGACTCACAACCTTGGAGTCTGAGGCCGACAGGTTTCCTCACAGCTCGGCTGCTGTTTTCGCAGCGAGGCTGGAGTTCGTAAACAATCAGCATCAATCTGCCAACAGGACGATATGAAGTTAATCAAATAAGAAATAAAATGAAACAGAAAGAGCTTTGAGCATCTCATGTTGAGAAATTACAAAGTTATCCATTTTGATATGTTGGAGATGACTTTCAGCTTTCAGATTTTAAATCAGCGTTGGTAAAGCTGACCGATTTAAAGACGGTTTTGTCTTTTGCTCCTCAGTCCACGCCTAACAACGCTTCAGCTGTTTGGTCTCTTCGTCTCTCCTCAGGTGAAGTTTGTTCGTCTCTGTCGAAGCAAAGTCTCGGAGTCAGTTGCTAAGCAACAGCTGCTCCGTCTCCTCGCTGCTTCTCGTCTCTCCCAGCATCCAGAAAGCTCTGGCTGTCAGATGGAGCGAGTGAGTGATGTAAGGGAGCTGCAACCGACACAAAACATGAAGTCCAACTGAGTCAATAATCAGCATAATCTTGACCCTATGTTGTTGTTGTTGTTGTTTTTGTTGTTGTTGTTTTTGTTGTTGTTGTTTTTGGACCTGAACATCTCGGGGATAAACTTAGCAGCCTTTCACCTTCTCTGGATGGCATTAATCTGGGCTCCAGTTCTAATGTAAATAACCTTGGTGTTATTTTTGATCAGGATATATCTTTTAACACCCACATTAAAAATGTAACCAGGACTACGTTCTTCTACCTGCGTAATATCACTAAAATTAGAAACATTTTGTCCAAAAAAAAATGATGCGGAAAAACTAGTTTGTTTGTTTTTGTGTACAGTGTCCAACAACAGTTGTTGTGACTAAATGACGCTTTATAAATAAACTGATTTGAATGGTTTTTGTTGTTTATGGTCAGACTATAGGCTACTATTTCACATGTAACCGTTTTATACAAGGCTGTAATTTAAACGTATTATTACAGCTGAGAGAGGAATTTTTTTATTTTTATTTATTTATTATTATTTTTAAGGAAACACTTTTTGTATTTCTTGTCTGGGATAAAGGAAAACATTATAAGCTGCTGCTTCAATCTAAAACTTTCTTTAAAACTGTTTACAGAACAGAATGGAACAGAATGGAATATAATAGACACATCAAATAAATGCTCAACTCAAGGTGATAAACATGGTTTTATCCTAACCTTTTTTTTAGATRTGTTGCTGCCATAAAGTTTAAAATTACCTTAATTTAAAATAATCCTAGTTTTAACATTTGATATTTTCACCCTGCTCCACTGTGAATAAAATATGGGTTAATGAGAAATCCAAATCAGAGCATTCTGTTGTTATTTACACGTCATTGGGGTTGTTGCATGGATATTACTTTATTTTTAAGTGTTAAACAGTATTACCAGACACCCTTTTAAAATAGAAAATTTACATTTTCATTGATTAAATAATTAGTTTAAGTTTTATAAAATTTATTTACAGTTGATAGCGCGCGCCCTAGCCACGCAATCATCCTTGCCAGGTGTATGAAGGGAGAAAAAACACTGAACTGCTTAACAATACAATAAGCGTGCTACTTCCGGTAATTTCTTTCACAATAAAAGCTTCCCTTGGTTTTTTTACGTTTCAGCTGCTGAGAGGATTTTAAAAATACATCTGGGTATTAAAATAAATTAATTCATCGYGTCACGTAACGGTTATTAAGCATTACTGACCAATTATGATCTCATTGTGTGCGTATTAAAAAAAAAAACAGCCGGCTGTTAACTTCCGGTTTCCTCTCGCCTGTTGTCAGGCAGCTTAACACGGCGGCGCTTTTGTCAGCCTACTGCATCAGAAACATATATATTTTTAAAAACAGTAAAATTAACCCTGTTGGTGTTGTTTGTCGTCGCCCTGGAAGATGGTGGCTAAGCAGAGGATTCGCATGGCCAACGAGAAACACAGCAAGAACATCACGCAGAGAGGAAACGTCGCCAAGACGCTGGTGAGACGTTCACGGACACCCCGGTGCCAGCGCCACGTTAGCCCAGATAGGCGACGTTCAACCCGGCGTTAACACAGCAGCACACCGGTGATGATGGTGCCAGCTGTGGGTGGTGGTTTTACATTTGCCACACGTATGGCGTGACTCAGGACTTTTACAGTCAGCTTTGATCTTATATCTATGGAAAAAAAAAAACATCAATTCAATTCAATTCAAAAATACTTTATTGATCCCAGAGGGAAATTATCCGAGTTGATGTTCAAATTCAAAATCAATGTGATGTTTTCATCCTGAGGTGCTTACCGCCCTCACATTGTTGAAAAAAAGTAATAATAAACAAAACAAAGGTAAAAAAAATGAAGAAAAGAAAAATAGCTGTAAAGTGCTCAAATTAAACCAGAGGTGCTGTTAGCATCCCTAACCATTGGGGGTTTAATCCAGGCCATACATCTTTAACATGATCATAAAATGTTCCTCTCAGAGTATGTGTGGAGAAGGAGTCTCAGCTACTACCACTCCAATAATTAAGTCCATAACTTTGAAATTGACTGAGATGTTTACATTTTTGTGTTTGCTGAGGTTGATCACCTGTGGCGGCCATCTTGAATTGGACTGACTCCAAAATGCAAACAGTTAAAGAGGTACATCTAATGATTATTTTCTGAAAGTTTCATTAAAATCCATGCATAGGTTCATTAGATATTTTGCTAACAGACCGACATAAACAAGCAAAATGTTAAAGTTTAGCCCAGACATGGATAGACTTTTTAAAATATCACTTCAGCATTTCAGATTTTCTGCTTCTCGTGTTTTAAATTGTAACAAAAGCGTGATTACTCAGTTTCCCATCTGATGGCCTTTTCTTCAGCTGTCCAAATCTGCTCGCGTTTCATTTGTCAGCTACTCTTTCTCCTCCTCCCCTACTTTTCTTCTTTTCTTTTCTTTTTTTTCCCTCAGATATTTGAAGCACAACACAATGAAAACAAGCAAATGCAAAATGTATTTGCATCAATTTTTTAGGTCAAAATACTCAAAATTGTAGTATTGGACCATCAGGCTGAGTGAGCAGCAGGTTTATTAAAGGTTATTGTTGATAAAACTTGAATATTTTAACTTTCAGTTATTTTTTAAATATTTTCTACTAAAAAAATTTATTTTTGATGGAAAACTGCAGATTTCGTTGTTCTTTTATTTGCTGTTTATTTGAATATATATTATTTGAATATATATTATTTGAAAAGTCTGCTAATAGGTCTGAGAAGCAGCAACAACGTGCTGAAACCAAAACCCTTTTAATAAAAATGTTTTTTTCTCTTTCGAAGCGACCGCAGGAGGAGAAGTACCCCGTGGGTCCCTGGCTGCTCGCCCTCTTCGTCTTTGTTGTTTGTGGATCAGGTGAAATAAAATGTTTTTTTTTTAAATTTTTTAATATATTTTTTAATATATTTGCCCACCTGTGACTTTATACTAAGAAGCAGGTTGAACTTACTGTGGTATCTTGGTGGTCCGTGCTCTAATCCTGAGTCTGTGGGATGGAACCCGGGTCATGTCAGGAAAGGGGTCCGGTGTAAAACATTTGTTGAAAGAAAACTTTTTTTTTTTTTGCAAACATTTTTCTCTGAAATATGATTTCTTCAAATTCTTCAAAACCATTTGAAATTTGCCGTTTTGTCACCTTTTGCTAATTTTAGCATTTAGCTATTTTCTCATACTTTTAATGTAGCTTTTTGACAGTTTTAGCTAGCCATTTTCTGCTTTTGTTTATCTAGCTCTTATTTAATGTTTTGTTAAGAATTTAGCTACTTTAGTTACCTAGTTTTTCCAGTACCACTCTACAAAAAGACTCCCCTTATAAATGCCTTATAAATAGTTTATATATAAGTTAATAATTCATCTGTTAACACTTTTTAAATCATTAAGTGTTTATTATGCATTAATTAAGGATGGGAAAGGGACAAAACTGTCCAGTTTCTTGCCAAATAGTGAGCCAAACCTGTTCATGTACAATATAAATGTGCTATATTAAAAATTTCAGACTAGGTTACTAAATTGTAACCATAAAAATGTATTGGGAACACATCTTACGTATAATATTGCACTGTATTACTGGAATATACATACAGTGGTTTGCAAAAGTATTCATACCCCTTGAACTTTTCCATATTTTGTCACATTACAACCACAAACATAAATAT